TGTTATATAAGTAGTGAGAAACAAAACACCGAGTTGTTTTATAAGTAGTGAGAAACAAACTACCAAGTTGTTTTATACGTAGTGAGAAACAAAATACAGAGTTGTTATATAAGTAGTGAGAAACAAAATACCGAGTTGTTTTATAAGTAGTGAGAAACAAAATACCGAGTTGTTTTATAAATAGTGAGAAACAAAATACCGAGTTGTTTTATCAGTAGTGAGAAAGAAAATACCGAGTTGTTTTATAAGTAGTGAGAAACAAAATACCGAGTTGTTTTATAAGTAGTGAGAAACCAAATACCGAGTTGTTTTATACGTAGTGAGAAACAAAATACCGAGTTGTTTTATAAGTAGTGAGAAACAAAATACCGAGTTGTTTTATACGTAGTGAGAAACAAAATACCGAGTTGTTTTACAAGTAGTGAGAAACAAAATACCGAGTTGTTTTACAAGTAGTGAGAAACAAAATACCGAGTTGTTTTATAAGTAGTGAGAAAGAAAATACCGAGTTGTTTTATAAGTAGTGAGAAACAAAATACCGAGTTGTTTTATAAGTAGTGAGAAACAAAATACCGAGTTGTTTTATAAGTAGTGAGAAACAAAATACCGAGTTGTTTTATAAGTAGTGAGAAACAAAATACCGAGTTGTTTTATAAGTAGTGAGAAACAAAATACCGGGTTGTTTTATAAGTAGTGAGAAACAAAATACCGAGTTGTTTTATAAGTAGTGAGAAAGAAAATACCGAGTTGTTTTATAAGTAGTGAGAAACAAAATACCGAGTTGTTTTATACGTAGTGAGAAAGAAAATACCGAGTTGTTTTATAAGTAGTGAGAAACAAAATACCGAGTTGTTTTATACGTAGTGAGAAACCAAATACCGAGTTGTTTTATAAGTAGTGAGAAACAAAATACCGAGTTGTTTTATACGTAGTGAGAAACCAAATACCGAGTTGTTTTATAAGTAGTGAGAAACAAAATACCGAGTTGTTTTATACGTAGTGAGAAACAAAATACCGAGTTGTTTTATAAGTAGTGAGAAACAAAATACCGAGTTGTTTTATAAGTAGTGAGAAACAAAATACCGAGTTGTTTTATAAGTAGTGAGAAACAAAATACCGAGTTGTTTTATAAGTAGTGAGAAACAAAATACCGAGTTGTTTTATAAGTAGTGAGAAACCAAATACCGAGTTGTTTTATACGTAGTGAGAAACAAAATACCGAGTTGTTTTACAAGTAGTGAGAAACAAAATACCGAGTTGTTTTATACGTAGTGAGAAACAGAATACCGAGTTGTTTTATAAGTAGTGAGAAACAAAATACCGAGTTGTTTTATAAGTAGTGAGAAACAAAATACCGAGTTGTTTTATAAGTAGTGAGAAACAAAATACCGAGTTGTTTTATAAGTAGTGAGAAACAAACTACCGAGTTGTTTTATAAGTAGTGAGAAACAAAATACCGAGTTGTTTTATAAGTAGTGAGAAACAAAATACCGAGTTGTTTTATAAGTAGTGAGAAACAAAATACCGAGTTGTTTTATAAGTAGTGAGAAACAAAATACCGAGTTGTTTATAAGTAGTGAGAAAGAAAATACTGAGTTGTTTTATAAGTAGTAAGAAAGAAAATACCGAGTTGTTTTATAAGTAGTGAGAAAGAAAATACCAAGTTGTTTTATAAGTAGTGAGAAACTAAATACCGAGTTGTTTTATAAGTAGTGAGAAAGAAAATACCGAGTTGTTTTATAAGTAGTGAGAAACAAACTACCGAGTTGTTTTATAAGTAGTGAGAAACAAACTACCGAGTTGTTTTATACGTAGTGAGAAACAAAATACCGAGTTGTTTTATAAGTAGTGAGAAACAAAATACCGAGTTGTTTTATAAGTAGTGAGAAAGAAAATACCGAGTTGTTTTATAAATAGTGAGAAACAAAATACCGAGTTGTTTTATAAGTAGTGAGAAACAAAATACCGAGTTGTTTTATAAGTAGTGAGAAACAAAATACCGAGTTGTTTTATAAGTAGTGAGAAACAAAATACCGAGTTGTTTTATAAGTAGTGAGAAACAAAATACCGAAGTTTTCAACAAGAAATTATGTACCAAATACCTGCTGTTTAGGCGAGTAATGAAAAACATAACAACTAGTTGTGTAACAATTAACCATGGAAATTATTCAACTCGAAGCCGCTCGCATAGTGACAGGTCTCCCTAAATTCTCCTCAAGATCGAGTTTATATTTTGAGACAGGATGGGAATCACTATCTTATAGGAGGTCAAATAAAAAACTCTGCACAATCTACAGTATTGTTAATAACCTATGCCCATCGTATTTACATGACATGTTACCACCCAAAGTATCAACTTTTAGTAGATATGAGTTACGAAATCAGAATAATCTGAATTCGCCGCAAGCACGAACAGTCACATACCAACAATCATTTATACCTTCTTCAATCAAATTATGGAATGAGTTACCCCCTTAATACAGAAGTGCAACATCATTATCAAATTTTAAACACATGATTAAAACAACCATTACAGCTCCACCTCCATACTTCTCAATCGGCAACCGTAGAGCTAATATTTTACATACACGCCTAAGGCATTCTTGCAGTTCCCTAAATGCAGACCTCTTTAAAGTAAATTTATCTGATACTTTGTCCTGCTCTTGTGGAAACCCATGTGAAAACAACATACACTTTTTTCTTGAATGTCCCAATTACACTATTCCCAGAAATATCATGTTCGCTAACATTATAAAAGCTGGAACTAAATGTACAATACAAAATATTCTCTACGGTGATGTATCCCTATCTGAAAGTCACAATAACCTCATCTTCAACAGCGTTCAAAAATATATACTGTCGACTAATAGATTCGAGTAACCCTTTATTATTAATACAGAATATCGCTCTGCGACCATTTATTATTAATTACGCCATCAGTGAATAAACTGCATGCATGTATATGAATACATGTGTATCTCTGTCTCCTTCTGTAAACATAATGTTCCGGGTATATATATCCTGGTGTATGTGTGTAAATATGTGTATGTATATATATGTATGCATGCGTATTCAAGGGTATATGTGTATTTATGTACATGTAGTGTGTGTAGGTATGCATATGTGTACATGTACATAAGTGTATGTATGATTATGTAATTATATATGTAGTTTTGCATGTATTTTGGATTAATGTGTATATACAAGTAAACTGTGTCTATAGACAATTCTTATGCATGACTGTCTATGTTACTCTTGCAAACATTATGTTTATGTTCTTGTGTAAATATATTTCTCTTTGTTACTTATCTTTGTAATAAGTGTATATGTATCTGACTATGTGTATGTATGTACGTATGAGTATGTATGATTGTGTGTATATATGATTATGTGTATATGTTTGTATTTCTGTATACGTATGTATATGTATGTGTGTATGTATATGTGTATATATATGTATAATCAATGTCTGTACATATAGAGTAGGGAAAGGGCCACCTAAGTTGGATAACTTTTGCCCAATCCCGTTGACCATATATGTCAATAAAATATGTTTAAAACAAAACAACAATTAACGAAAAATAATTTACCCCGATATTTTAGTAGTAATGAGACACCAAATACTGAGTTGTTTAACAAATAGTGAGAAAACACATTCTGAGTTGTTTAAAAGTATTTAGAAAGAAAGTTTGTTGCTTAACATAAAATGATAAGCCGAAAAACGTGTTGTTGATCAGTTAATCAGAACCAAAATACCCCTTTGTTCAACATGTCATGAGAATCAAAATACCGAGTTGATTGCGAAGTATTCAGAAACAAAATACTAAGATGTTTCACACGCAATATGAAACACCTGGTTGTTTAACATGTAATGAGAAAAAAAGCACCGGGTTTTTTAACAGGTGTTGAGAAAAATCAAGTTTTTTTAAAAGTCATTAGAAACCAAATGCCGTGTTCTTTAACATGTCATGTGAAACAAAAAAACTAGTTGTTTACCAAGTAATGAGAACAGAATACCGAGTTTTTTTAACAACTAATTAGAAACCAAATACTACGAAACAAAATGTCCGTTGGAAGTAATGAGGAACAATGCTCATTTTAAGCGTATGTATATGTGTAGCGGTGTGTCCTGATGAATGTATCGCTACAGCATTGTGTGACTTGTACAGATGCCTTATCTGATAGTCTGGACAGCAGCAGCTTCAATGACATTAAGTACTATAGTACTATACCTCTGCCATAAAACCCCTTACTGAGGAACTCCAATGGATGTGTATTTCACATTAACATTGGCTCCAGTAAAGAAGCATGCACTAACTAGCGGCATGTGAGGAAATATCGAATCATCCAATATTTCCCCATTGACTCGTCCGATGATGAGTAGAGCTCTTGATGAACTTTGCTGTTGAACAGATATCTTCATGATATAAATTTATTTGTTTCTGTTTTCACCATGCAACTGTTTTCCATGTTGTTTCTTTGAGATCTTGATTGAAGACAATGTCAGTACATTGTTGAGTTGAAAGTGACCGCCTCAACAGTAATATAACTTTTATATGTCCTCCGTTACATAATTCCCCCTGAATCCTTAATTCTACTCTTATACAAATCATGTACGCTATATACAAACTGTTATGAATCCATCATTTTATATTATTCTCCAAACCACGAACAGACGCAAATTATATGTACATATGCATGCACTATTTGATGGCCGCAAAGCCATGCCACTCACCTCATTGTTAGTATTGACACCTTGTCACCCACTATCCGTTACAAGTTAATTTTAGATACGGTAATCAAATGCGAAGTTTGTCGTGAAAAGCCCTGGATAATAAAGAAAGTATTACATTTGCAAGTGTGTCGAGTTTCGTAAACAGCATTTGACAGACTTGCTCGCATATTAATATCTATTTTATACACAAAGAGATAAGTCGAGTTTAGGAAAAACAAGTTTCTTCAGACGATGGAGAACTGAAACAGTATTCCCACTCTTTCAGCTGTGTCTACGATTGGGGCTGACTGTGATCTGGACGTGGACTGCAAGTCTCTGCACAACTCCAACTGTCACGAGGGTTCATGTAGGTGCGACGTTGGGCATCACCCTGATGGAAACACATGTCGCAAAGACCCAGGTACAGACATCTACCCTGTGTGTGTTGTCTTGATCACGGCGTCTCGAGTAAACTGAACGTGCTCACATGATCAAGTCCAACAGTCTTTTGGTGATGTACTAAATGTAGTTAGTATTTTAATTGATTTTACAAACGTAGACATCCCATTGGGTACGATGTATAGCTGTTATATAGACTTTATGCCAGGTCATATTACTTGGAACTGACTGCAATAAAAGTAGTTATTGGGAAACGTGCACATTATCTTCGTGCCCTTCACTGGCGACTCTGGCCATGACTCGTGTGCCTGCTTTCTATGATCTGCAGCAGAATTTGTCAAGCTGAGATATTGCAGACTGTGACATACAATGATATATGCACTGTGTCAGGGTCAGTGTGAATGAAAGTAAACAATAGCTTTGATAAGCAAAACAAAGCAAATGATTGCTTGCTTTCAGTGTCATGTGCATCATCTGTCGGCTACACACATGATGTTGGGAGTGGCCTGTGCTACAGGATAGAAACACAAGTGAAACAGAACTGGGCTGATGCTGAGAGTAGCTGCACCATCAGCCTCGGACATCTAGTTAGATCTGACACCAAGAGCAAACAGGATAAACTGAAGGTGCTTCTGGAACAACTTGCGTTAGGTATGAAGTATTTCCGATCGTTGTACTGTGTATTGTAATGGATGTGTATCATCCTACTCGACAACATGGACCATCCGTGATGCTGTCAACGGCTGATGTGTCACTTACGTGATTGATCATAAGCATCGATTGATACTTGGTGCATTCCATGATTTGCCGACCCTGCAAAATATCGACTCATATTTCACAGATGGATTTCTTCAGTTAAAAGCTTCAGGTCATGTTTGTTCTTCTCTGTGCAACGTTATCGAAAGAAAACTGTATACTCAATGACAATAGTAACGGTATGGGATCAATGATAGTGTGATCTTTTAAGATCAGAAAATAGATATGACATGTTTAATCGAGTTAGATGTGTATTTGCATCGTTTTCAAATACATTCCAAATTCAATACAAATTCAATGCCCAGCATTATATACAGGTAGCTGGTGGTTATGTAGAAATAATACAGAATAATGAGTACTGATCCCTAGGTTAAGAGTGGGTAATACAACCAGGAACTTGAAATAATGAACAATTTGCCGTTGTTGCTGTTGCAGAGTCATTTTGGATTGGCGCCCGATATGATGATGATGAGAAGGAGTGGGTGTGGCTTGACAACACCACCGCATCTCTTCTGTGGGGCCCTGGACAACCTAGTGGAGATGGCAACTGTGCAGACCTTCACAGGGGTTTGAAATACAAGACTAATGATGCATCCTGTAAAGATTATAAATATTATATTTGTGAAATTCCACAGAACTGAATTTCATGACTCTCCTAATTTATGTGTCTCATCTACTTTTGTATCTTGAGCTCCGCTTGGCCCCGCACCCTCTGTCTCGGGGCATGTTAGTGAGGTTATGGTTAGACTGTCTCCGTTCATCAACAAGCCAGCATCCGTCTATTCTTTAACTCCCACTTTCGTCTCCGAACTGCAATAGGGATGATTGGGAACGCCGAGGAGGATGCTAAGTATTGGAGTAGGACACAGACTTGTTCATAGCTTCTCAGCACTGTCCTGCACTTTACGCCTCACTGAATCTGTTTCAGCAGATAATAGAGACTTCTTATTCTCTGGCGTTGACGTTTAAAAATTAAATTAAAATTAGAATTGAAACATCTAAAAGAGAAGGAAACTTTAACAGTTGTAAGGAAGTCTGAAATAGTTATTGGCATAATATGAAGTAACAGTGGGAATATGCATCTGTTCAGTCATGTTTCTGTGTTAATGTGTTCTATGTGTGTAAAAGGTTCCAGTGATAAAATATATGTGAAAGAAGGATTCATTAAAATGACAAATATTAGTATGAATTGTAATAGGTGAATTTAGTTCAGTTGTGATTGAAAGAAATATATGTTGATTTCAAACATGGACAGATAAAATTCCGACTTTATACGAATGTTTTCATTCATTATGTAGACATATAAGACAAACATTGTTATATAACAACAATAAAACACTGGAACAGCATTTTCATGTAATGTCGTCATTAACATATTATATGGGGCGTGATGTCTTCGTGTCCAGACTGCCACGTAAACTAGGAAAGGGCACTGGCGTCATGTAATACTTAGGATATATTATACCAGCCAACAGAAAGCCTACACTGACTGTAAATAAAACGTTTGTTCCATAATCATACACACTATCTGCTAACGAATGAAGTCCATGGTATAGTTCCGACATATATCATCTGTTTAATAATCTCTACTAATAGTGATGATACTACGTGTACGCGAAACGGTAAACGTAGCCTGCTCCACCGGTGGCACCCGTCACAAAGACACGCAAAGACAAGACTAGCCTTCAGCTGAACAAACACGCTGTTGGGCCAAATTTGGAAATGCCTTCATCATATCTACCATTTAAAGTTGTGAAAGCTTTATGGTGAACATTGTATTCAGTATCCTTGTGCTGTGACATCGTCCGTGCACCCAGGACAAGGAAGCCAACAGCTTACACTTTAAATGGGGGGAGTCAGGCCGGGTTGTTATCCTGGTACTCCAGGCATCAGTGCCACCAACAATACGCCTTAGTACAAACAGGAACCAGAGTATCTGTACAACATTCACGTACGTCCCTGCGCTCCAGTATGATTAACACTACATAATTCATGTACTCTGCTATAGGTGCGACATGATGACTAAGGCACAACTTGAACCCTATTCACACCCACCCCATGTTCTCTCTTCCAGACCGCACGCAGGTATGTGTGAGAGTGCGTGTGCTTCTATGGCCTGCCATGGCTACTCACCAGCAATGTAGATACCTCGAAGGGTACGTCATGGACAGAGATGTTAATGTAGGGCTTTAGTCTCAGCTTAAATCTATGACGTCCTTGCGGCATTTTGAACACCCCAAGCTTTGATACAGAAATACAAACTTTTCTCAAATAGAAGCATGGAATGTTGGCCTAGTAATGCTGCAACATAGGAAGGAAGGTTGCACACATGTGAATGTTGGTATGAGCCAGGCTGCTACACAGGACGGAAGGTTGCACACACATGAGAATGTTGGTATGTGCCATGCTGCAACACAGAACGGAAGGTTGCACACACATGAGAATGTTGGTATGAGCTATGCTGCTACATAGGATGTAAGGTTGCACACATGTGAATGTTGGTATGAGCCAGGCTGCTACACAGGACGGAAGGTTGCACACATGTGAATGTTGGTATGTGCCATGCTGCAACACAGAACGGAAGGTCGCACACACATGAGAATGTTGGTATGAGCTATGCTGCTACATAGGATGTAAGGTTGCACACATGTGAATGTTGGTACGGTCTTGTGTCTGGAACCCCATGATTTGTTGGGCCTTTTTACGGCTCATTTCGCTAGTGGGTGATCGCTCGAAACTGAAGTTTCGTTTGTAAGTGATTGCGGGGCACTTTTGATCTAGTACTGCCTTACTTGTATTGAGCTAAACCTATTAGCCAAGGTTTCCTATTGGGTTTTTCTCGTAATCCGTGAATAATCCTGTGTTTTCAAGATTTTAGTATGTCCTTGCACAGACATTCTTCTGTGTCTATTTTCCGCTATTTAACTTTGGTGAGGTTACGCACTTATTAGAATGTTGAGTTAGTTAACTCTTGTGTTAATTAGACCGGCTGACTTAATTGGCTGTGTACATCTTGTCAATATTTTGTCAAAGTGTTGTTTTAGCCTCTCACATTTATTATTGCAATACAGTTGCTTAGCGGAGCTGCTTTTGTATTTGCTCGAATTATTTAATCAGCACTCATTGTCAGTATGGTTTGTTTTTTATCTTTTTTTATTGATACAATTAGCCGCTAGTAACATACCTGATGTTCAGTGGTCCATCCATAGAGTTTTCATCACTATTTTGACTTTTGAAATCCGTTCCGTCTAATATTCGAAATCATTCTCTGGCATTTAGGTTTTATGTATATTTGCGCTATTATTGAAACTTTTTATATGGAAATGAACATCTATGTTGACAAAGTCACAACACATAGCCGAAATAACACGACTGGCATGGCTGTAGGTCTGAATATCAATGATCAACTAATTTATAATGAAACGCCATTAGTTTACATTATGAATCGTCCATAGAAGTGAGGACTGTTTTGACTGTTGTCAGCATAGGTGGTGGAGAATCTGAAATTGGCTTTCCTTGGTAAACCACGTCTGCTGTACTTAGTCATAGCCGCCAAGTGCATGTTGTTTAACGCCGCAGTATTTCAGATAAATCACAAAGAACTGGTGATAATCGAATGGACGACCAAGCAGACCACTGTACAATCAAAGATCGGGTTATGGTGACATTCACATACTGTTTCAACCATGTCCTAATTTTAGTCACGAAAGACGCACGGGCTTGTGGGCACCTACTGTCCTCTAACAGTGATAGTTAGCAATCTCAGCATCAGTGTTAGAACAATGCACATTGTATAACTGCGGAACTGCAATATTCAGCCTAGTTCTGTATGCATCAAAATGGAAATTATGTATGTAAATAAAGTCCCACCATGCACTTCATTGGTTATCATTATTGATATGAACATGTTCGGAGATGAGGTCTTAAATAACTACCGACCCATTTGTACATCAGCGTCATCGTTTCATGTATACTGAACACAAGTTCATGTGGCATTGAATAAGATTTAATGCAAAGTCTAATGTTTAATGTTTTTTACCAAATCTGAAAAAAATTCTGTTTGCAACAGATAAGACTCCTGTAAGTGTTCAAATGGTTTAATTTGCCCTACTGACTTCAGAAGATGCGTGATTTCATAAAAATCATGAAAATGCCAAAATGTCAATTGAAAAAATCAATAGCTTGTGTGTCCACCTCTGGTTGCGATGCAAGCAACACATCTTCGTCTCATGGAATGGACCAGGCGTTGCGCAACGTCCTGTGGGATATCTGTCCATATCTGCTGGAGCATGTTTCGAAGTTCTTGGAGTGTCTCTGGAACACGTGGTTGACATGGAAGGCGCCGATCCATCTCATCCCACGTGCACATGTGCTCGATTGGTGAGAGGTCAGGGGAGCAAGCCAGCCAGGGGATGATATATTGTAGCATACGTCACAGTATAGCATTCAAATGTCTGAGGAACTTTGAGAGGTTTTTTTAAAGTACCTACTTTACCAGTTGTGAACAGTTTTTGATATCTACTTATGTTTAGCCAGTGTGTGTAGTATACATTAACTCATTCAGCGCGTAAGGTTAAAGAAGAATTACAGTTGAATACATAATGGAACTCGTCACCCATTACTTGGCAGTCACACAATGTTCATATCTTTTGTTCTCGTCATATAATTCCCATCGACCTGTTTCTATTGGTAGTTTGTGCTTACCAGTTTCAGAAACAGTAAAAGTTTAGAAATATAATCAGTGAAAAGTAAATAGTATATATCATCCTGTTCAAAAAGACAACACTAAATATTGGAAAAACTTGAACACTTTTAATTTACTCAATAGATGTACATTTGACAAAATCGTCAATTCTCACACAAGATCCTCTAAACACAGCTGCCAGATCTCTCAATCCACATTTCATCTTACTCAGTGAAAGCTGCTGGCCGAACGACTGATTCTGATTTGGTGTGGTTGTTGTTGACATCCTGTAGGCTGGCGCCAGCACTCTAAGAGTTGCAAAGTAGTTCTTTCTGAAACCAGTTCAGACTTCAGATAAAATAATATCCATTTATTTCAATGGAAGTAGTGAATATATTGTCAACAAGAAAAGTAAAAAAAATACCCAAGCATCTTGCAAGTGTTAATTGAAGTGGTTTGTAGTTGTTTGGTAACAAAGGCTTGCCTTTCTTATAAATTGGCTTAATTACACCCCATTTAACCCACCATTCTTCTAGTGTCTTACCAGTATGAAATATTATTTTGAAGTATTTAATCCAAACAGTCATATTTTCGCCTTATAATGCCGACGTGCCGTCAAATTTCAGGTTGACACAAGCCGACTTGGCGAGGTTCCTAGCTGTCGGACGGGCGCTCGTCTGAGTGATTGGACCCAAGCCGGGTCGGCTGGTCCCTCGCCGGCGTAACCCGTCGCCGGCGTTTCCCTCCCCGGCGTTACCCTCGCCGGGTGCTCCCTGGCGAAAATCCGTCTTTGTCCGGCGCAGGCGCACTCGTGGATTTTGGGGTTACGCGAAAAGCAAATGTTTTCCCAGGGACCTTTTTTATTCATTTTCCCTCTC